GTGCACATTCGCCGCGCGTCAGCAAAGAAAAGACGCTCTCAACGGTGAAGCGAGTGCCGCGAAGACGCAAGGGGGGCGGGGGGGGGGCTGGCGAGCGTGGTGCGGGAAAGGCGGGAGCATTGTGAGGTGGAAAGGTGAGGGACGCCTGGTGGGCTGGCTGCCGGCGCGGAGCGTGGCTGGACGTGGGCGATCGCGAGCAGAACCGCGCCGTTTCGGCGTCTTTCGGTGCGGCGGCCGTTTCGGGCGAATGAGGCGCCTCTCGGCTTTGCGCCAGCGGGCGGAACGCGGCCACGCGCCGCCCCCGCCGCCCCGCCCGCCCGCGCGCGCCGCGCCCCTTCGGCTCCTCTGCGTTCTCACGCTCTCGTCCTCCTCTCTCAACACACATCTGCCTCCTGTCTAGCAGATGGTGCTTCGCTGGTCCTTCTCTCTATTCGTTCTTCTCTCTCTCGCCATTTATAGTTATTTTTAGTCCCTTCACGCTCTTGTCCCATCATGCCCTATTCAGCCATTCCTTCGCCTCTTCCTGTCTTTCGTCTTTTTTCTCACCCCCTTTTCCGCCTCTTCCCACCTTTCCCGCCCCGCCGTATTCCTTTGCCCTCTCAATCTCTCTCGACTGCCTGTCCCGCGCGCCCTTTTACCCTCCGTCCACTCCCTCGCCAGCGTTGTTATTGCTGCGGCTCCGCGGAGCGGTGCACCTCCGCCGCCCCTCGCAGGACCGGCGCCGGCTGATGAGTCTCAATAAACGCGCCTCTCATAAATGCCGCTTCGCGCCTCAGTGCGCGCCGACGTGATTTAACGTCTGCGCAATTTCCAATGATTAACTTTAGCTAATTAATACATCACTCTTTACATTTTATTTTCAGATTCTTTTTTATGAAAGAAAAGAGCACATACGAGTATTTTTAGTAACAACACACGAAATATAAATTGTTTTCAAAAATCTTTGAAATGCATGTGTTACGTATTTTATCACGAGGTTAATTTCTGTGTTTTAACATATAAAAATGAACATTAACCTTGGTTTAGAGAAGATGTAATTTCACTCTTTTTTTAGTTATATCACCGTAACTTGAACAAGAATATCTCAATAAATACAGTAGTTAAACACAAAATTCACGGAATAATTACGCTGACTTCTCCAGTGCTGCAAACGTAGGAGACGCTATCTCGAGCTCTGCCGAAAGAATAAAGGGACTCATATTCATGCAAACACACTTGGCCCCGTGGAAGCATATTATCCAGTGAGCGGACAAAGAACGTACAACAAACTCGTTCGGGTGACTCCACTCGTCACGATCTTCGCTCCGAAGCGCGGTTTTATGAGTCCTCCTGCCGCGCCGCCTCGCCCGCGCTGTCCAGCGGAACGCGCCCTGCCGGCCTCTGAGTAAGTGGAAACCTGTTCTCGGGGAAGTCCCCGTAAAACGCTGAAGCCGCCTCAACAGAGATCGATCTCTGTTTCTCGCGCTGAAGTCGAACGTTAAATTTTACGAGCTACAAAATAAGCATTCGGACCGGCGCGCTGGCGGGCGGGTGCGTTCCCGGGCGCCTCTGCGTGCGCTCGGCGGCGTTGCCAGTTCAGCAGTTCGCGACGCGCGTCTTGTGGCGGGGCGGCGGCGCGAGCGCGTTGCAAATGAAGTCGACCCCGCGGTCACCGCGCCCCCGCGCGTCAGATGTTTGCTCTCCGCCGCCGCCGCCGCTGCGGATGGCCGGGCAGTGGCGAACCCGCGCTCTCGTGAAGAGTTTTAACAACTTGGTCACGTAGGGTACTGTGCGTGATTTAACGGTAGGACAATACTAACACTCACATACATTCATGACTGAGGCACAATTCGCAGCCCGGCCCATCAGCCTTAGCACCTTGGCTATCGAGTCCAGCGGACGTAATGTTTCCTTAAAACTGGCACAATATCTTACTATAAACCTCTCATATTCAGACAAATAGTGCTTCAATGACAGGAAATGTGACTTTCAAGTTTGTTACGGAAGTTGTAGAACTAGGTTTGTAACTTGTGTACTACCAAAAGAACTTGAAGGTAAATTACTGTTTTATATTTGCCCAAAGTTGATAGCCATTTTTTAAAAATTAGCCTCAAAACAATATTATTACATTTATATCTGTTATGCTTCATCATTTGATGATTTGATTTATCCTTCAAAAGCAAATAATATATTTAATAAAACATTTTCAGTACAAATCAGATAACTGCGAATAATATTTATAGATGCCAAATCGAAAAATCATGTATTATCAATAAATAAAATAATAATTTGTGTTTAAGAAAACGTTTGAAATACATTGGGTTTAAGTAGGTAAAGAACCTATTTCTGAAATTCAATATATAGTTAGATAACTAGTTATATTAATACGAACGTTTAGTTTTAAAACAAAAAAAAAAATACTCTATTGGCAAGCTATCAAAGAGACAGAAAGTTCTTAACAAAAGGAAACTTACCAACGGAATCTAAAGTCACTGCTGAAGTGTCCTTTGGAATTCCGCCGACAACCACTGGCGTTCGCCTTTCTACTCCCCGCTCCTAAAGCACGCTCCCCTCCACACACCTCACTCCCCGCGTCGGTTCGCGGTCGCATGAAAATTAAATGATCCGCCAATTATAAAATTCTATTGAAACTAAACGGACAATAAAGGTATTATTTTGTCGGGCCATCTGCAAACCGCGCAGTCTGTGCGTTGCTCGCAGTGGGTCTGAGGCTTGCGGTCTGGGAGAGGTTGAAGAGGGATCTGCGAGGGCCCGCGCCTCACGCTACCGCCCTCATAGCCGGCACTCCGGCGGACAAACAGCACGGCAGAGCACTCGCAAAACAAGTAATAATTCCACGTAAGCGAGGCAGTTCAACTTGTTAAATAAAAACACGAGCGTTTAGAAGACATACCTAGAATAGAGAGTAAAGTATGCATGATTTTCTCCTCCTTCTGTATTACTTCCGCCTTCACTCTAATCATATTTTATTTTATTTCTGTGTACCTATCGCTCTGACTGTCGTTTACACAAACAATATTGAAGCTTTATGAAAATTACAATGTAAAAAAATGTTGACGAGTTCTATAAATCTCTCTTAATCCATGAACAAAAAAGACCGTGTGTAATACACTTTTTTAAAGGCTCGGTTGTTCACTAACATTGAAGACATTCAATTCGAACGTACTAAAGTCTCTGTAACTCTACAATTTTCATAATATTGGTACAAAATTAATAATAAAAACGTACAATGTTGGAATGCGTCACATTATAGAATTTTTACCTGTGGTATTCATAATTAAACTTTAAATATAATTTCTGCAATCTTACGATGATTGTAGTTCTTCCGTCTTGACGTCGTTCTGCTACCTAACAATTTCGATGCTCTGTTTCAACTAACCTGCAGCGGGGAATCCTAAGCAACAACTCACTCTGTCCCTCTTATCTTCACCATCGTCATTCACTTCATCCGCTTCACTTAGAATCAAGTCATTCAACAACATTCCTACCAACCTTATGATCAATACAATAAGTCTTGACATATAAAAATTACATTTATTTCCATTCTCACACGATTTTCCTCATCGTTCATCACCTTCTATCAGTGTATCACTTCTGTGTTTTCACAGATCTATAACTCTCTATTATTTTGGTTGTTTGTTCTGCTCTGAGCACTTGATGTCCCGTGTACAGCAACGCTCTTCATTTTCCCGTCCAGTACCCCACACAGATTTATCAGTGGGCTGTATCTCTGCAAGTATCGCCGGGACTATCGACTGCTGCACTGCCCCATCCGCCGCTTGTAACGACCAGCGAAACTCCTCACCGCGCTTCCCGCCGCGTGCGTCGCGCCCGTTCGGCCGCGCACCTGCGCGCGCACGCGGCGTCAATGGCGCCTCTAGGCCTCATTAGTCGCCGGCGGCGCTAACTACCTGTTCATTAGCTCCAAGAATTCGCCGCGGCGCGATGCTATTTGGGCGCTCGGCGCGCGTCACCTGTCACCGGCCTCCCCCGACAGCTCGATACTGACAGCGTCGACGCAGCGTCCGCACTCGATAAAAAAGAGAGAGATTGTGTAAATAGAACCGTAATTAGGCAAACACTTCGCAAAAAGGACGCGGAAAGACGCATGGAATTAGATTAGATACATGATTGATAGGTTTAACTAGATATAGTTAGAATAGGAAAGTGTTAATAGTAAGAAAAATAGCGTGACAGAGAGGGCTACGCCTCGAAACATTTAATCAAGAGGTAGGCGAGCAAGTGCCACCGGACAATCATTAGTATTAGATATTAGCTTATGTAGATAGGATTATAAATTCAATGTGAATGCTAATGCACCTTAAAATGTAAAGCAATTATTCGGCAAAATACAGATATTAAGTGGGGGCCGGCGGCAGAGACGCAGAGAAGGCCGGACGGAGTGACGAGCACTGGAGTGACCCGGACAGCCGGTCGCCTCGCCTGAGCCGCACTCATCGCTGGAGAGCGCGTCGCTTGGGAGCGGAAGGCACCCGACATGCGCGCCTTCAGCCCTGATCCTCCCCCAATCTCCGAAGAGGCGGCAGTCACTGCCCGCCCCCTCCCCCGTACCAACCCCCCGACCCCAATGCCCCGCGCGAGGACACTCCATCTCGCTACGAGATGGCCCACCAGGCCGCGGGCAGGGCTCCAGAGCCCCGCAGCAAGCTCGCTCGAATCGAGCTGAGCGCGGCTCGCGGGCCAAAGCGGACTCCGCAAGCAAGCTCGGCCCAAACAATTCGAGCCTGCGTCGAGTGCCCGACAGAGCCGCCAGCAAGCTCGCTCGGAGACGAGCTCGAGCGCTGCGTCGGGGCTGCAACCAGGGGCCCCGAATGGGGAGCCGACAACAACGCCCTCGGTCGGGGGTCAAAAATTCCCCGCCTCCTATCCCCCTACCGGGCTGACGCTGGTGCAGCCGATAGTAAAGGGGCGGGACCTATCATTCATCTCCCCCCCCTCCGACCTTCGCGTGCCCTGCTGCCCAGATACAGCAAGCCCCTGTCCCGCAACCCCCCACTCGGACAGGGTGCGTACCGTCTGTACAGCAGTCGGCGCCAGCACCCGCACCTAGAAATCAATACGTGCTTGGGTGCGGGCGACTGGAAGCATCAGGCGGCGCACGCCAGGACGTGAGATTTCTGGCGCAGCCAGGCTGGTATTTCCCCCAGTGCTTAACCCCGCCTCGGCGCAGGAGAGGCACCACACGCGGCGAGACACTGTGGCAGCCCTTCTTTTCCGGAAGCCGGAACAGTGGCAATCCCATGCCACTGCAGGAAACTGTCGGTGCCCGGAGTGGGACTGCATTACGTCATGGCGAGTCACTCTCCGGTGCGCCAGCGGGCAACGGCCGCCACATGGCCAGAGCGCACAAGTGCACAAGTCGGTGCTGTTCTTGCATCGGCTGGCCGGACGTACGTACCGAGGCAGTCATGGGAACAGCACAGGGCGAAGGTGCGCGGAAGGGCGCATGGCCGTGGCACCCCCCTCCCACACTACACTCCCGCGAGGTGCGGGTTAATGGCTGCGACACCGCTTCGCGTCCGTCGCAAGTTGCGGAATGCACGGGGCGGTGCCACGCGGCAGGCCGCGGAAACCGGGCTGGGAGACGCGTGCGGCGGACACGCTGCGAGCGCGGCAGGCGAGGATGGGAGTGGCAGAGGATCTGGAGCATCTGTTTGCCCAGCCACCCCCCCCCCGCACCGGCGCCGCGCAACGGCGACCTCCGCCGCGCCCCCGCACGCCTCCCCCCCATCCAACGCCTCCCACCGAGACTGTGTCAGGGCAAGGGGCACGAGCGCAGAGGACCCCATGCCCCCGCCACTACCTCCGCAAACCTGCCGTGAGGAGAGGCGTCCGGAGGCGTGGCGTAAGAGGGGAAGAAAGAGCCCCCCCGGCCAAGGGAAGAGGGCAGGCCTCGGATCAAACCCCTCCCCGCCCGCAGTGCCGGCCCCTGGCCGAACGGCGCGACACACCCCGCACCCTGCCCCAAGCCCCCCGCCCCATCCATCTGACGTGGAGGGGGTGGGGTGGGAACCGTGGGTGTTACAGTCGTCCCCCGCCTCCTCGCATGGTGGTCAATCCCTTTGCCCGCCCACCTCACAACCACATCAGCCCTCCTTCCCGCCTTGAGGTAGCGCCCCCGCGACCGGCCACTGGCCTGCCAGCCGGGAGAAACCCCCCCCTCCCTCCCCCTACTCCAGGCGCAACAGGTCCGGACGCTCCAGCGCCGCTCCCCAGAAGAAAACCACCACGACGCGGACGCCGCCGGCCCCAACACAGAGGTCACGACGAGCTCCGCGCCAACGGTGGACCAATCTGGGGGCACCTCCGGAGCGGGATGACATCGCCAGGAGCAGCTGAATCACATCTACGGAAGCTTCGTGGATCAGTCAGGGTGGGCTTGAATTAAACAGATAGAACTTCCGACCCCGGGCGGGTAGGGGGGAGGGGGGGAAGAAGAGAGACGTCGCCGCCGTTGTACGCACACCAAGCGCGGAGGGCGATGAGGGCGATAGACGGGAACAGGGGCCCCCATTGCTCCATCCGCGCTCGCCGATTAACAACTTACTTCGGGGGTCACGCGCCCCCCCCCCTCCCTACAGCTAGAGGAACAATATCGCAAAGTAGAGGGGCGTGAGGCCGGTAGGGATGGGCGAGTTTACGCAGGAGGAGGTGCGAGGCGGCTCGCCCTCAGCGCAAAACACCGCGCCTGGGGAGACCGCATATCGTACGGCACTCCGCCACTCGACCGAGCAAAGGCTCATCACGCCCCTCCTCAATCTAGTACGGCAGTCCGGAAATCCGGACGAATGGAGGGGAAGCCGGACTGTCCTATCCACAAGGGAGGGGCGGAGGGACCCGGGCAACTGGCGCCCGGATCGCCCTCACCCCACCCTCTAAGGCTGTTTCACGCCTGCTCGCCGCCGTCTGTCGAGATGGGTCGAGGACAACGCGGCCTCTCCCCTGCCCAGAAAGGATTCCGTCCGTTCGACGGGGTCCTAGACAATACTTCCTGGCAGGGAGCTACAGCGGCGCCGCCGAGGCAGGAGCAGCCTCAGCATGGCCCTTTAGAATAGGAAATGCGTTCGGCTCGGTGCCCCACGAGGCAATTCACGCCTCGCTGGGCGCCGCGGGGGTGGGGAGCCGATTCCGGGACCTGGTGGCGCAGGTGTATGCTGGGAACACCACCAATACATCTGTGCCGCGGGGATAAGGAGGAGATCCCATGCTCTCCGGCATCCGGCAGGGGTGCCTCTGAGCGGCCTACTGTTCAATATGACAGTGGACCCAACTCTGAGGGCGCTCGGGGAGCCAGCCGCGGTTGCGCCGCCACCCGCCTCGCCTACGCGAGATGAATATGCGTTGTTGGCCAAGACGCCTGATAGGCTACAGGCCAACCTCGCGAAAGCGCACAGGGTGTGCAGACACTAGGCCTAAAGCTCAAACCGAGCAAGTGCCGGACCCTGTGCGTCCTGCGTGGGCGGGTAGTGACGAGGAGTTCCTGCTCCAGGTGGAGGGGGTTCACACGCCCTCCCGTGCATGGCCGAGGGGGAATCCGCCCGCTACCTCGGGAAGCCGGTGGTTCAACCTCGTACAGTCATGGAGGGGTTGAAGGACCAGGAGCGGCTGTTGGACTGCAATCGCGGCGTCGGCTTTGAAAGACCACCAGAAGCTCGACGCCGTGGCGCAGTTGTGCAGCCAGCGACGGTCTTTCCCTACGCATGGGAGGTACTCAAAGGCCATGCTGGGGAGTATCGATAAAGTGATTAGGGCCGGGTTAGGGAGTCCTTTCTCTCGGTAACGGATCCTCCAATCACTTCCTCTACGCCGGGAGGGAGGATGAGGAGTTGGCCTGCTGCAGGCCACGACCGAAGCCGACATCTGGGCGGTGGACACTGTCTTCAAGCTGTTGACCAGCCCGGACGCGTGGGTGCGAAGGGAGGCTACTGCTGACCTGGAGGCTGAGGCGAGGAGGGCGCACGAGAGGGGAGTTGGTGGCGGAGACATATATCACTACTTAAACTCCGCCACCTCTTCCGGCAACACTCAACTCTCCTGCTTCACCCGTGCCCGCTGGCGCGTCTGGAGGCTGGGCGTCCGATGGCTGCCGCCCGATGAAGAAAATGACATGGGCTCCCCCGCATTGAGCTCCCGGGGGAGGTGCAGCTGAGCAACGGAGAGTACCGCCACACACACGCGGGAAACTCCGGAGCTCGCTGAGGAGGACGGGGAGGAGGGGGGCGGAGAAAACGAGCCGGAACGCGACGGACGGAGACAGAGGACTGGCTCGCCGCCCCCAAAATCCATGGCTAAATCAGCCCCATGGAAGACCTCCCCCCTCCGAAACCCACCCCCGGTAGTAGCTCTGCAGGGGAGGCCCCCACGCTGCCCCACCTGACGAGCTGCCGGCGCTGGAGAGCGACGCCGCCTTTTCCGGCCGGCGCCACCGCCCCGGAGCAGACGGGACCGCCGAGTGACGACAGCCCCTCGCGAGGAACCGGAGGAGAGCTGCGCCGCCCAGGCGGCCCCCAGCAGAATACCAGCCCCCCCCACCGGAGGTGGACCAGCCCCACAGCCCCTGGATGCTGGCGAGACCCTGCTGATTGCGAAACAATCACCTACAAGTCCCGCCACCTGCTCGTGAAAAAGATACGGCCCTAGTCTTTAGGGCCACGCGAGCGGATGGCGGGAGCAGCAACAGCAGGGAATCTTTGCCCACGCGTTGGAAGGGAGTGGGGAGAGAGTCACCTACTTTCTCCGCACCGGTGAGAACATGAGGCCGCCGATTACAAATTCATACACGCGGCGCGCCTCAACATCTCACCGAGGCTGCGGCACCAGCCGCAGCACGCGAGGGAGGAAGGAGGTGCCCGACGAGGCTGCATGCAGCTCCGGGACTCCTCCTCCCCCGCGGCGGAGACATCGGGCACGTGATAGCCGAGTGAACTCACACGCTGCCGCCAGGACGCTCGCCATAACCGCGTGCTCGCGCACCTCAAAAACGCGGCCGTGGCAAATGGCTGGAGTGTCCTGTTCGAAGATCAGGCTATCGCGGGTCAGCGTCGCCCTGACTTGTTCTAGGAAAGGGGCATCAGGCGGTCTGTGTGGATGCCGCGGTCTGTGTCGCGTACCAGGGCTCCATGGAGCAAAGGTACGCGAGAAGGCCGCGAAGTACCACGAGATCCGCCCGGTGCTCCTGAATAGAAACTACAGGGAGATCGAGTTCCTGCCACTTTGGTAGGAGCCTCTGGGCGAGTGGTGCGAGGCCAGTGCGGCTGCGCTCCGAAAGCCTGCTGCCAAGATCCAAAAAAACAAACGTAAGAGAACGGATTGTGGCGGAGGCAGGTTAACGGAAGGCGCGCCCTCTACTTCGACCACGTAGCCCTGAGAGACCTGATCCCCGTGGAGTACCGTCGGCATGCCCGGCGAGTGACTAGGGTGCTCACGGGGACCGACCTGACGAAAAGCCCGACAAGGTGGGGGAATGAAAACATACGCACGGACGACGGAACGCCATACAAGCAATAAAGAAGTGAGTGAGTGATATATAGAAGTGTGGTGCCGTGCGTGTTCAGATAGATAGATAGGAACCGGCATCGCAAAAGGACGCGGACAGGACGCATGCGAGTTAGTGTTAATTTCATTATTTTTTATTTTTAGGTTAATTAGAGACATAGGTTAGGATACGATAGAAGTGTTAATTTATAGTTAGGAAGTGACAAGAGAGGCAACGCCTCGAACCAATAATAGAAGAGGTTGCTTTTTTTTTTTTGTTTTTTTTTTTTTTTTAATTTTTGTTTTTTTTATTTTTTT